CAGACTGAAAACTTTTTAGCTTATTTTATTCTTTAGATTAACAGCTTTCATACAAAATAGCTAAAAATTTAATTTACAGTTTAAAGAGGCAAATATTTGATAAAGTTGTTGGGCATGTAACATAAATTAAAATTGCCCATATATATATATATATATATATATATATATATATATATATATATATATATATATATATATATATATATAGATAGATAGATAGATAGATAGATAGATAGATAGATAGATAGATAGATAGATAGATAGATAGATAGATAGATATAATATATATATATATATATATATATATATATATATATATATATATATATATATATATATATATATATATATATATATATATATATATATAGATATATATATATAGATATATAGATAAAAAAAACTGATTTAAAAGATTTGTTGTGTAACGCTTAAGTACTCAGACTACAAAGTAGTGGGCCAGCATTACACAAACAGCAATGATACATCTCATAAGTTGAGTGCTCATTAGGGTGGTTCATAAAATATATAGTTTTAGCTGCACAAATCAAACAAACTAAAAAAAGTTTCCAAAAAGTTTTTCAAAAGTATATCAACCTCTTACTCAAATAAAGCAAACTCATAAAAAATTTTATAATAGTTATTGTTTCTTATAAATATTACTATTTTAAACTTTTTTAATAAATATTATTTTTCAACAATTTTTAAAATAAGTAATTTTTTTGAAGTTTTATTTTTTTTTAATTTTATATATGATAGTTATTTTTTAAACTTTTGTTAAAATTTTGCTTCTTTTGAGTACCAGGTTGACATTTTGTATGCTTTTGAGTACCAGGTTGACATTTTGTATGCTTTTGAGTACCAGGTTGACATTTTGTATGCTTTTGAGTACCAGGTTGACATTTTGTATGCTTTTAAATTTTTGAACATTTTAGTTATTAGTTGAATGAACCATAGAAAAATATAATGAATCAATATTTTTTCTGTCCATTTTCATTGGCCACAAATCTACAATTCATACATCACTAATTTATTCACACATACATACAACCCATATGTATATTGTCATATTTGTTATTTAATCTTTTTTCCATCAAACTAGTTGAGCTCTGTTTTCTTGGATTATTTAAGAGTGTTTGTTAAACATAAAGTTATAAACTTTATTCTTATCCTCATCCTTCTTCCCACACTTTCGTTTGCTTCATTGATGATAATGCTTCTTTTTGAGATAATAAATTCTAAAATGTTAATGTAAGGAATTCTCTGTTTTTCATCAACTCAAAAGTATGATAGAAGATATTATTTTTTTTAAGCATCTTATATAAAGACTAATACCTGATGTTATATAATTATATAATTTATACTGTTATCATTATATAACTTCTGATACATGTTTCAGCTGGTAAAGTTATTATAGCTTGTTATTTCTCATATGTAGAAACAACTAAGCAGAAAATAATGTAGCATAATGGCCTATAACTATTAGAGAAGGGCTGAATTATGTAAACAGGAAATATAAAAACTTAATTTCTTTTATTTTCACTGTTTTAAATTATTAATATATTTTGATATAAACTTATATGACATACTCAAAAGAGCATTTTAGCTTTTTTGAAATGAGTATAATAAAAAATATCTATTTTTAAATTTATAATCATAGTTTTTTGGTGCAATTCTTTAATAAACCAGTTGTCATAGTTACCTTTCCATAGTTGCCGAAAAATAAAACTTTTTAAAGTTGTTAAAGTAATAGTTTTTGTTTTTTTTAATTCATTTTTGTGTGTGAGTGTGTTTTTAATATTTTATTTTTTGTAAGTATTACAAAAAATAAGGAAATACAATCACAGCGGACACTACTCCGCTAAAATGAGGAAATACAATCACAGCGAACACTACTCCGCTAAAATGAGGAAATACAATCACAGCGGACACTACTCCGCTAAAATTAGGAAATACAATTACAGCGGACACTACTCCTTGCAATTTCTGCTATAGTAATAGTAACCATTAATCTTGTTTCACATCTTTGGTTGCAATTATCTTTTTATGGTGTACATTGGTAACACCTATTATAAATGTTTCTCAAATTATAATGATTCATGACTTCTGTCAATTTCTTAAAGATGAAATTAAAGTGATTTGTTGCTCTTGATTGTTGGTTTTGCTGGTCAAAACTATGTGGTTTCATTTTGAGAGTCTCTTTGTTATATTTTTTATGGTTTATCTGCATGTTTTTATAAATGTATAGCTGCTCTTTTTTAGAAAAAACTGTTTTGCATAACCAGCACACAGGTGTCTGGACAAAAAAATATTTACATTTGAGAATCTTTTTGATTTTTGGGAATTAAGTTGCATGGTTGATTCCGTAACACTTATAAATACAACAAAATCATCCTTTTTTATTTTAAAGTGACTTAATAGGATGGTGCATCATATGAGGAAAAATTTGGCTGGTCTTTTTTTTATATTTTCTCATTTAAATATACAAATATCACACCAAGGGTCAGTACATTAAAATTGTTATTGTATCGAGTGTATGTATATTTTGTTTATTTTTGATCACTACAATTATAATTATAACATTTTATATTATCATAATATAAAATGTTTAATAAACTCTCATCACATTTTCTTTTCTTTAGAAAATAAGAAAGTTTTCTGAAAATGTGCAAGAGAAATAGTTTTTTTTTTTTTTTTTTTTCTTATTATCAACCTAATTTCTAGCTAGTTATAAATGAATGACGATTTGTGTAGTTACACACATGAATACCGTTGATAGTTTTTTAGTTACATAAAATAAAATTTAAAAACTATAAAATCGTTTTTCAAAAAAAGTGTAAATGGTAACACAGTTCATAAGAAATCATTTATAATTTTGCAATAATATAACCTTAATTTTTTCCCTAAGGTAAAAAGGTAAAAAAAAAAGAAATTTATCATAGCATATTAAAATATACTGAACTATTTTATTTTAGTAAATATGAAACCAGATATTCAAGTAAGTACACTAATTTTCATTATAAAAAGAAACTCCATTGTGTACACAGGACAAAACTACATATTGTTTTTAGTTAAATATGGGCGTTGATGTAAAGTCAACTTATGACCTGACTTTAAACTACTTTATATATAGTTCCCAGATCGCAGTTTGATTTTAAAAACCTTAATTGTAATTTTTAAACAAAAAATAAGTAATGTCTGTAGTCTTGGCTTTGTTGAGGTGAATATATTGTGGACTATTTATTCTAAATATGACAAGAGTGTAAAACATTTAACATTGATGGCAAACACACACACACACACAAAATGTAGTTCCAACATAGTTATATTTTCTAATATAAATGTATAAGTATTATATCATGCAAAGGGATCTTTACAATAAAATGATATTGCTTTATTCACCATTATTTTATTATCTTTTATGAACTTTATTTAAAATACACAATAATGCCACCTTGTCTCTAGTAGTACGGTTAACTTGTTAAATGCTGCATTATTTGAGATGGTGCTTTTTGAACTAGATTATTTGAGTGGTTTTTGAACTGCATTGTCTTAATATATTTGTTTTAAGGCAAGTTGAAGAGCGTGTTGTGAAAAAAATTGTGAAAGAGTTTTAATATTTAAATCGGTTTGTAAGACTTTAATATAAAATCAAAAAAAAATAGAATAAAGCATTTTTCATAAGTCAAAAGCAACATAAAGCTGACACATTCCAAATTCAAGTTTTCAAAAAATGAGATTAAATATATTTAAATAAGGAATCATTGAAGAAAAAATGGTGCATCAATTTTGTAGAAATTACATATATGTTACCAAGTAGCAGTGTATAAAAAAGTAATTCTGTTAAATCCAAATTTAAAAACTGTTTGATTGAAACCTTACTGGAAGTAGGAGTTTATTTTAAAAAAAAGTCTTAAATTGACACTTTTTAAACTAAAGATTTATTTATTAATCAAAGTGTGCAAAGATCTACATGAAAGAATGTATGTATGTGTATCTATATGTGTATACACACATATACATACATATATATCTTATACTGCTGAGTTAGGTGAGCATGATGATGTCATACTCACCTAACGTCAAATAGCCTGCTGCCGGGGGCTTCAGTACATACATCGACTGACAAATAGCCTGACTTGCAGTCGAGTGCTGCTACATCGAATGAGGGTTTGGTATGGGTCAGCAACCTTTTCATTCATTAATCTTCGTTTTCCCTCATCGTTTTCTGAAAACGCTTACTTAATTTAGGCTAGCAAAAAAAGTGAGCAATTGCGCATATAAATATGCTATAGTAGATATATATGTATGTATATACAATAGCGGCATAAAGTAAGTATACACCATTGAAGTATACACCATTTTCTTCTTAAAGAAAAGCTTCATAAGTTAGAATGCAATTTAATGGTTTCAAAGAAAAACAAAAAAGCATATTATACAGATCTGCAAAAACTTATTTTTGATGCTGTGGCTAACCAAGTATAAAGTAAGTATACACCATTGTATACTTACTTTATGCCGCTATAATATATATATATATATATATATATATATATATATATATATATATATATATATATATATATATATATATATATATATATATATATATATATATATATATATATATATACTATATATATATATATATATATATATATATATATATATATATATATATATATATATATATATATATATATATATATATATATATATATATATATATATATATATATATATATATATATATATATATATATATATATATATATATATATATATATATATATGCATTAAAGCATGTAACATTTTGGAAAAATTGTCATTGATATCATGGAAAAGTAATATTTATTGTTATCAGTTTATGCTTAAATGATATAAAATATATTTTGAACAAATGTAACATTTTTGACTATAGCATTAAAATAATATGTTGTGCTAAATTACTAATTGTTAAAACTTTTTTTTTTTTAAATAAATGATTTTAATTGTTTTAGGTACAACTTGCTATACGATATCAAAAAGCAATTCTTGTTCATGAACGTGATTCACATCAAGCTATCTTAGATGTACTAAAAGACTTTGAATCTTCATTACCCCCAGTTGTTATTCACTGCTTCACTGGAACAGCTGAGGAAATCAAAACATATGTCGAACGAGGATATTTCATAGGCATTACTGGATTTGTTTGCAAGGGTATACTGAGGGTTTATGATTGAAATATTAAAAGCCTTTCTGAGCTTTGTCCATTTAAAGTGTCCAGTTGTTTTTTGACTGTGTTGTGATCAAAATTTAACAGTATTTTTTTTTTGTTAAGAATTATAGCTTATTTCATAGTCTTAAGAAAGAATAGTCTGGAAGAAATAATAGCAAAAGTTTGTATTAATATTTCTATGTTATTATTGTATAAATAATTTCTTGAAATTGTGATTAAGTTTTTCAAAATTTTTATTTCCCTATGATGAACAACATGGAGGTGTTCATCATAAGGAAGTTCATGTGATTTTTAATTTCTCTGATATTTTAATTTCGTGTTATTGTTGAAATCTTTGCAATGATTGGTAGTGTAAATCATTCATGAAGTTATTGGTGCAATCACTATAAGTATTGTTTATAGCTAATATTTTTATTCAGTTAATATGTTATTTAACATATTTTAATGATGCAATACAGAGAAACCTTAATAATCCTCAATATCTAGTGTTTGGGAGCTTTAGTAAGCTTCGTTCCCCAATCCTCCTACATTTTGGCTGATAAAATGATATCCTCCTACTTTATGACGTATAACGTTATGACGTTATATGTCATAACGCTATACGTCATAAGTACGTATATATATTATTGTATAACAATATTGTAACAAAAGTGCAAAATATAAAGTATTTAATATAATGCTTTATATTTTTAAGTTTTTAAGTGGAAACATTTTTAAAATTTGAAAAGTTTAGTCGGTGGCTATTATTTCTTATGACTATGTTTATTTAAAAATATTTTAAAATTATTCCAACTTTTTAATATACTTTGTTATGTTATTTGATTTTCTAATATTGTTGTTTTTAAATACCTTATCGGATAAAAGTGAATAGAGTTTATCGAGTTTACTAAAAAAAATCGACTTTAATCTTGTAAATACAATTTTATTTATTTTATAAACGGTTGCAGTAAATGTACAATAAACAGTGGATTCTAATTTATGTCCAATTAAAACTTATTCGATATTATTAAAAGCTATCCAATAACGTATATATGTATAAACTTTGTAAAAAAAATTTAGCAGTAAATTTATGGTGAACTAGAGCAAATTTTTTATGTATTCACTTTTCATCATTTTTCCTAGAAAAACACGGCCAAGCACTTCGTGACGCCATAAAAGATGGAACTCTGCCGTTAAACAGGATTATTGTACAGACTAACGCTCCATACATGACACCGAATACTCCGCGTGATGAAATAGATCCGGTCAGTCAAACTTTGTTAGACCATTGTTATTCCGATAATGAACCGTGTACGCTTTCAATTATAATTCGATGTATTGCTAAATGTTTATCTCAAGAACCACGAACGATTGCTGATGAATGTACAGAAACTGCAATGAAAGTCTTCCGATTTCAGAAAACAGAAGTAAATTTTGAATGATAATTTAATTTGTCTCTTAGAAATGCAGGTGGCAGAGTAATTTGATGCAGCCGGCCTTTAAATTCTGAGAGTTTCTTTAATATTCGTGTTCAAAATTGTTTATTTTTTCTACGTTCTACGTAGTTGTGTTAGTGTTCCGTTAACCTTTTTAAAAAATCCTTTAGTTTTTTAAGCTGCATCACATGTTTGCTACTGCCTAATTGTATCCATTCGGATATGCGGTATTGGCGCCGTTTTGTACACATTTTATAAACGGAATTTCTTTTAATTTTTTTTCAGAGAAAATTTATTTTATGTACTCTACCGAACCAAGTAAATGCAATAAAAGCAAAGGATTATAAATCATCGCATTTGTTTGGTTTTGTTAATATATATATATATATTTTTTAATATGTTTTGCTAAACTTTTGCTTCCAATTTGTTACTGATCGTCGTTTTTTGAGTATTGCAATAACGTTTGCAATAAGTGAGAGGTTATGAATATTTAATTAACTTTTCGTTTTCTTAGTGTGTATTAGAAAATAAAATAAAAAAAGGAGATTCGTTTGAGCGAAGATGAAACAAAAGAACAGAGCTACATCAAAAAAATTTGTTTGGCTTAAAGATACACAAAATACTAATAGTATTGATTGAAAATGTGATTATTTTTTTAATAAAAAAGGAGTTTAACCAAGAACTTGTAAATATAATTAATTTATACGTCCTTGGTTCAACAAAGTTAACATCTTTTTGAAACAACGATTTGATTACACGAGTGTTAATCGAACGAAACGAGTGTTGATAATAAAATAAGTGTTACTAAATTACTCAATTGATGTTGAAAGATTTAGACTATTGGGCATTTCCAAAATAATCACGCACGAAAACTCGTATATGTTTAGTCTATTATTTTAATAATAATAAAACTGGCAATCTCAAATTTACTCTCTTTTCATTCTGTTCTATATAAATATTTTGTAAACAAAGAATGATATACTTCAGTAATGTTAACAAAGAATAGATTAAGTTTGAATCAAGCACGGAACAAAAAAATTTTAGTTACTAAATAAACTTTAATTCTTCGGAAAATAAGTTTAGCAGTATACTTTATTTTATAAATAATTTTTTATCTATTAGTAAAGATTTCTATAAAGTTACAGAATTGTATTATGTAACATACAGAGTTCATTCAGGTATTTCTATGATAAATTGCTTGTGAATATTTAATAGGAAATAACAGTCATCCAATATATCTAGCTAGAATGTAGCGTTTAGAAAGTTATTGTATTTTTTTTTTAAACTATTGCGTCATTAACACACAAAAAAAAAATGGTAAAAGTATATATATTTAAACGTTCATGTAGCCTAAAATATTATAGAAATATTTGTTGTTATTATTTGTTTTTTAAGATAATCATAATATTATCCATATAGTCCCAGGCTTCTAATTGTCAAAAAATCACGCACAGAAACAAAAATTCCATTTTTTTAAAAAAACAGTTTTGAAAATATTGTTTATTAATTTTTAGAAAGTTTAAAGAAAGGGGCTGTTCAGTCGTAAAATTATTTAAATATCTTTCAAGATATTTAATTTCTTTTAACTTAATGAACAAAGAAAACCATCTAGATTGAGTTTTTAGATCATTTTTGATATTGATTGATAATTTTTATTTTGATTTGATTGATCATTTTTAGATCAATTTTTTTTTTTATTAAACAAAATGTGTGTTCCCTGGCTCTCATATATTTCGTGCGCGCTCATAAGCTTTAAAACGCACATGAAATAAGTTATCAAGTACCGTAAACCGGTACTTGATAATTTGAATTTTGGGGTAAATGAAAACAAATCTGTTCGATCTCTGTGTTAATGAAATAGATTTGCGAATTATTGTGAATTGTATTGAATAATTCTAAACAAAATTACAAATTTAAGAAAACATTTTTGTTTGATCGGGGAATTTAACATCAACTTAACCAACTATGCTTCAAAAAATAATGCAAAGAATTGTTTAGCACTTTTCTAGAAAATAACTTTATCCCAACAATAAATAAATCAATAAAAGTTACAAACAAGTTTTCCACTCTACTTGATAACATTATAACTAACAATTTTTATATTAGTCCTCTTTACGAAGGTACCATTCAGACTTATTTAACATCATTTTTCTAATTCTTAGCTACCAATAATATTTTAATTAACTTCTTAGCTACCAATAACATTTTAATTAACTATTTTCACACAAAATCCACAATATTTTGGCGAAAGATAAATGATAACTCCTTAAAACATTTTAAAAACTGTTTAAAAAATTATGTTGATTGGAATCTGGATTTGCAATCAAGTGAGGCTAAAAATGCTTATAACTTGTTTCTCGGTCAATTTTACAAACGATATGAAATAATGGCTATGCGGCCGCGGCCGCGGCGCTAGTGGTTACAGCGCTTGCTTTACTATGTGGCCGTGGCGCATTTGTTAGAGCGCTTGCTTTATAAGCAGGAGATTCAGGTTCGAAACGAACTTTGAACATATTTTCGCGTCACGTTAAGGAAAGAGGCGTGAACTTCCTGGTTAAATGCACTTCCGCGGTGCTCTGTGACAAAACCGTTAGGTCTTCTTGGGGCACCTAAACAACATTAAAAAATAAATAAAAAATAGTGTTCCCAGAAAAAAAGTCTCAAATACCAAAAAAATCACAAATAAGGGAGAGTTTCCTTAATTGGAACAATTTAGGAATAAATATTTATTAACCAAAAATGGCTTAACTATAAAAACATTTATGATTCGATAACAGACTACTATACTATAAAACAGACAGACTACTATACTTTTAACCACAATTTGACTTAATTGATTGCACTGTTATTGGAAATAAATTTGCTTTTGCCAAGTTACCATTTTGTTCCAATCAAGGCAACTGAATCCCTAAATTGGAATACTTTGATTCCTTAATCAAAACAGTTTGTTTTTTTAAAAAAAAAACTACAGTAAAATCAATAAAAATTTGTAAAAAATGATTTTCATCTTTACAGTGAAAATTTAAACAGTTAATTTAAAACTTATTATAGGATTAGTACTACCCTGACAAATTTAAAGTTCACAAACAAAATTTTTTATAAAGCTTCAACGGTTATGACTTTCTCTTAATTCATTGATTAAAAATCACTAACTTAAGTACTATTTTTAAAGTTTATGGTTGCTACTATGTATTTTTTTAATTGCACTCGAACTATTTTTACAGCCCTTTGATTTTATTAGTGATTAGGTAAGGAAAACTTCAATGTTCAAATCAAGGAAACTTTTGACTACTTTGTTATATCACTTCAATAACATGCTTGCAGCAACTTATAAGATAAGTTTATATTTTTATTTTGCATTTTAAATCCTATCGAATTAAACACAAAAAACCGATTAACCTATAGCAGTATATTTTACCCAGCGCAATCAATATAGCGTGAACACAAAATTAGATCACCAAAAAAAAATGACGCAAAAAACTTTAAATCAATGGTGCAAACGCATTTTTTGAGGAATAACTTTGTTATTCCTCAAAATGAGTCAAAATGTAGAAAATAATGCGTTTTACTAAAAAAAAATGCAAAATTTAGCGATAATTCATTTTTTTTTTTAGAAATAAAGCCAACTATTTCAATTAAGGCGCTGTTAAAGTCGCTTTAAAGTCCCTAAATATCAAAGGCATATCCTAAAAAAGAAAAAAAAAAATCTAAATTTCTTGGTGTGCTTCTTGACGAGAAATTATCTTGGAACTCTCACATAAATACCATTAATATAAAAGTCTCAAAAAACATTGGTCTACTCTATAAAGCAAGAAATTATTTATCGTTCGAAAATTTTTTTCGAAAGAAATTATTTATCGTTCGATTATTTTTCCTTTATACACAGCTCTCTATCATATGCCAATATAGCATGGGCAAGTACCCATAAAACTAAATTAAGTTCACTCTATAGACGACAGAAACTCGCCTCAAGAATTATTTTTTATAAAAACAAACTTACTCACGCATACCCATTACTAAAACAGATGAATGCTTTAAACCAAGCCCGTGCGGTAGATTTTCTCATTATGAGGCAAATCTTCGAAATGCCGCCCCTTAAATGTTTTTCTTTAAAATAACCTTCGATTGTGATTTTAAAAAAAACTGCACAAAATGTACGAATTCTACTTTTTATTTTGAAATTTTAAAATAATGAAATAATTTCAATAATAAAATAATTCAATAAATAATTTAAATAATAAAATAATTTCAACTATAAACTACAACAATGTACAGTATTACAGCTTAACTCTTCTAACTTTAACTTTAGTAAATTCGTTAATTACTGATGTGTAGTCTAGAGTGCTAGCCATTGCAGATTCAATAGAAATTAATGCCAAATTTTTAAGTTTTGTTTGTCCTATTGAACTTCTTAAGTAGTTTTTTATTAATTTTAATTTGGAGAAACTTCTTTCCCCACTAGCTACAGATACAGGGAGAGTTAATAAAATTCTCAGAGCTACAACAGTATTTGGATACAAACTAATTAAGCTATTTTGGCATAAATAATTTAAAACATCCAAAGGTTTCGTAGAATATGGTAGCATTCTGGATACATCACGCAATTCTTCTCTAAGGTCATTTGCATTTATATCTGTTTCATTTTCAACCGAAAGTATAAACTCAAGACTGGAACAATAATTTTCTAGCGTTTTGTCATCTATATCCTTGAGTTTTAAAATGTCATATAAGAACTGAAATTTTTTGCTATGGGTTTCCAGAAGCGTGAATCGTTCATTCAGAGAATTAAGGGTAATGTCCAGAATATAGTTGAAAAAGTTTATTTTAAATTTTTTCTCCTCTATTAAGGGTTCATCGACAGCTTTTTCATAGTCAAATTGACGCTTTTTCCTTCTGGGTCTAACTTCAGTGTCATCAGGAAATTCTGTACTGCATTCGAGATTCTCTGCTATCTCCTTTGCAGCAATTTTCATCTGAATATATCCAGATTGTCTATAACTTTTCACTTTTTTTATGGTTTCTGATAGCATCCTTACACAATCTGATATATTTATAGTAACAGATTGCAAAAGCTTCAAAACTGAATTAATTTCAAACAAAATATCATGCCAAAGAATTACTCCACATATAAACTTGTAATTTTTAATATTTTTTGCTAACCCTCTCGCTTTAACTTTAGTTTCTGCATCTCTATTGACGTCTTCTATTATCAGAATCAATGCAATATAGATTTCGCAAAGTTGAAATCGTAAAGGTTTTAAAGCATCTATTCTGCTTGCTCACCTAGTAGCACTTAATGGTTTCAGAGTTAATTGAGAAACATATTTTTTTAGCACTTCCCAACGCTTTGTAGAACCAGAAAAAAAAGTGTAAAGTTCTTGTACAATAGAAAAAAAAAATGTTGTTTCTCTTGTAGAAGACGCTGCATCATTCCCAACAAGGTTTAAAGAATGGCATGCGCAGGGCACATAAAAAGCCCTTGGATATTTTTCAAGTATTCTATTTTGAACACCCTTTCTTACTCCTTTCATATTGGCTCCGTTGTCATAGCCTTGTCCCCTAAGCCACTTTAACTCAAAACCTACTTTTTCCAAATGTGTCAGAATAAGTTTTGCCAAACCTTCTCCGGTTGAATCATTAGCTTCAAAAAAACCAATAAAGAATTCTGCAATTTCATATTTATTTTGAATGGAGTTAAAAGTAACAACTCTTATTGTTAAGGAGAGCTGTTCATAATGACTGACGTCGGGGGTACAATCAGCGATTATAGAAAAATATTTAGCAATTTTTGTTATTTCGACAATTTTTCTTAAAATTGAATTTCCCATTAAATTTATCAATTCATCTTGTATATTATTGCTTAGATAAGTCACTGACTATTTATCAGACTCTCGTTGAACTCTCCTGATATGTTCTTCCATAACTGGATCAAACTCAGAAAGTAATTCTACCAACTTTAGGAAGTTCCCGTTATTAGGTTGAAACAAATGTTCAGTTGATCCACGAAAAGCTAAACATTGTGAGGCCAATAGTTTAATTATTGACATAATTCTTTTTATAACTCCTCTCCAATGCTGAAGTTCCATATCCATAATTCGTTGATATTCAGCGTCAATAGTTTTTTTCTGTTTCAATCGAATGTCCAATTCTTTCCATGCTCTAAAAGCATTTCTGTGATTTACAGACTTTTCGTGCATTGTGAGGGCTCTTATAAGATTTTTCCAGTCAGAATAGCCTTTTTTAGGCCTGTCACTAATATCAGACGAATTATCAAATAATATACAACAAAAGCAAAAAACGGCATCACTTGCAATAGAGTAAATAAGCCAACTTCTCTCAACGACTTCACCATTGCTCAACACTTTCGAATAATACGAGGGCAAAAATCTACGCTTTCCTTTATTAATAGGAAACTCGAATTCTTTAATTTGATGGGGACCCCTCTCAACCAGTAGTTGACGAGTTTGAGATGACATGCAGAAAGTAAGCCATAATGCAGGATCTGAAGGAATTTCTTTTAATACCTGCTGACTGCCACTGCTAATGCGGCCCGGTTCTTGATGAACTTCTGATGATGTTATTTTTTGGATCTCTTCAACAATTTTTTCTGGAATTGATTGGGGCGGCACTGTGTTTTTATTTGCCAAATCCAAGGCAGTCGCAGTTGACGTGGATGTGCTGCCCGGCTGTTCATGAAGATCTGATGGTGTTAGTATTTGGCTCTCTTCAACAACTTCTTCTGGAAGTGATTGGGGCGGCACTGTGTTGTTATTTGCTAAATCAGTTGCTGCTGATGTGGATGGCTCATCTAAACCGCACTTTTGTACTAAGAATTTCTTCATAACATTGCTGAGCTTTCTTTCTTGTTCCTCATTCTTTAAGCGTTTCTTTTTGTATTCACTTCCAGATAATATTTTTCTTTTTTGTTCCATGCTGACGATTGCTGTCACTGCTGTAATAAATTTTTGTAAAAATTTTGTAAAATCTTTGTAATGTCATCATGTTTTTAACAGTTAAAAACATGATGACATTACAAAGTTAAAATTTAACTTGCAAAGACAGGCAAACACAAACGTTTAAAAACGTTTGAAAACAGTATTTTGAAACGTAATAAGAAAATAGTCCACGCTAATATGCGTTTCAAAACGTTTTTATTCATATTGAAAGGAATAGCAAAAGCGAATGCTAAATGAGGGAGAAATTTTTTTTTTATTTTTATAGAAAAATGTGGACAATAAAAAAACTTTTAAAGTGATAAAAACATTCACGAGTTTGGTAGTAATTAAAATTTAAATGAGTCCAGTTTATGATTTAGTACCTAATTATTATTGCAACCCTGAAATTGCATTTTGATTTCGCTACTTTGCCGCCCCTTAATGGTGCCGCCTGAGGCGGCCGTCTTTTTGTATCATAGCACCGCACGGCCCTGCTTTAAACATTTACCAAATTAATATATATCAAAATCTTTTGTTTATGTTCAAACATAAAATGGGAATTATTCTAAGTCGATTTATGAATAACTTTTTAAAAACTAATATAAACAAATTTAGCACTAGAGCAACTGGAAACTATATAGTACTTCCTAAAAAAAGAAAACTGTCTCAATTCTCAATAGCATATCGTGGTCCTTACTTGTATAACAAATTAATACCAAAAAACTCCTCTCAAATTAATACCAAAAAATATCTCTCCTGAAAAGTATAAATTCCTTAAAATCTTATCTTAAAAAACTTGTCTTAAATACAAGCAGTTATATGGAAATTTTCTAATAACTTATGAGTAATTAAAATATCAAAATCATGTACAAAAAAAAAAAAATAATAAAAAAAATAAAAAAATTAAAAATAATAATAAAAAAAAAAGTATGAATATACATGTATACATGTGTATGTGTATGTACATGTTTATGTATGTGTGTATATGTGTGTATGTGTATGAGAATATGTGTGTATGTATGTATGTATGTATGTATGTGTGTGTATGTGTATGTGTGTATGTAAATATATATATATATGTATGTATGTGTGTATGTATGTGTGTGTGTATATATGTATATATGTGTATATGTGTATGTGTATATGTGTATATGCATGTATGTGTATATGTATGTATGTGTATATATATATATTATATGAGTATATGTGTATGTGTATGTGTGTATTTATGTGTATGTGTATGTATGTATGTGTATATATAGATATGTGTGGATGCGTATGTGTGTATATGTATGTGTGTATTTATATATGTATATATATATATATGTATGTGTATATGTATATGTGTATATATGTATATATATGTGTGTATGTGTGTGTATGTATGTGTATATATATATATATATATATATATATATATATATATATATATATATATATATATATATATATATATATATATATATATATATATATATATATATATATATATATGTATATATGTTATGTTTATGTTATGCTCCTTCCTAAAAACGCGACTAATTATATTGAAAAATGTAATAAGTAATGAATAAAATATTTATGAGTATCTCATGAAATTATTTAAAAAAAAGGGTTCTCGATGACAAGACTTTACACAGTTTTCAGCGAGTTTCCCTTGACTACATAACTAAAGGTTTAATTTTTCCCTTGTTAAGGCTGTTTTTGCCTTTTCAAAATATAAACTGAAAAACTATTTTACATTATTTTATTACTTTGTACATCAAATATATCTTAGTATTATTTCAGTTATTTTCAAAGCATTTTGACTGTATTTGTAATAAAAGTATATATTGTTAAAATTATTTGTAAAAAAAGTATGTATTGTTAAAGCTATGTAGTTGTAAAAAATATATGGAAAAAAAAATTAAAAAAAATCGATATTCAAGCACTTATTATATGCGGGTCAGTATTTTATAAAAAACGCGAGACCTGGATTTGCTCACTGGAAAAAAGTTTCAACCGTATAAACTCAATTTACACCAAGTTTTATTGTTTATGTTTAAAAAATTTTTTTGGTTTCCCCAAAAATCTTTCAAACTTATTTTAATAAAATTAATCATAAATATTCAACAAAATTTTCAAATAACAACTTTGTTCTTCTCAAATATAATTTAAAATTAGCTTCCTATTCAATTAAATACCGCAGACCTTATCTGTGGAAAAAATTCCCAGATATTGTCAACAAAAACAAGAATAAATCAAAACGGTTGTTACTGTTCAGGGATCTTAGTATATACGGCTTTAAATTTTTCTTTTAAAGTAAGCTCAAAAGTTGACTTTCGAGTGAGAAAAACGACCCACATTGGAAATGATACCGATTGCATGCTTTTGTTCATAAAACAGTTTTTTTATTTTATTTTATTTGTAGTGCACCAAGCAATGTTTGTATAATTAAGATAGCAATGAACGAGAAGTATAAAAACTTTAGGTGACTTAGATTTAAAAAAGGCTTTGCTCTACAAAGCCTGCTATGTTCTTTGAGATTTTTTCTTTCGAGGTAATGTATGTGATCTTTCCACGTCACGTTTTCATCAAGAAGTACGCAGAGAAATTTTAAAGTGGTTTCTCTTTTTATGTCCTGATAGCCAATACAAAGTTTTTGAAGTTTTAAAGGAATTTTTTTTAGTTATGAAAACGATGGAAAAAAGTATATTTTGTTTTGGTTACATTTAGAGATAATTTTTTAGTATTCAGTAAGATTTAATAGTTTTTTGTTCACTGACTTTAACAGAATATTTGTATCATTATGTGCATAAACTAGATTTGTGTCAACAGCAAATAAAATTGTATCTAGTTCAGTACAAGCTTTGCTTAAATCATTAATAAAAATGAGAAATAGGAGTGGTCTTAATATAGATTCCTGAGGAACCCCACATGCTATGTTGATATTGGTCGTTTTACCTTCATTATAAGAAATGTATTGTTTTATACTTGACAAATAGCTTTTAAACCACGCAATATTTATATGTTTAATGCCATAGTTTTCTAATTTAGTTAATAAAATGTAATGATCGACAGTGTCAAAAACCTTACTGAGATCGATAAACACACCTATCGTATATTTATTTTTATCACATGATTTAAAGATATTATGAACAAGATGAACAATAGCCTGATCAGTAGAGTACCTCTTTTTAAACCCAAATTGCTTGCTATAAACAATATTGTTTTCATCTAAAAAGTAATACAATTTTTTATACATAATGTGTTCTAATAATTTTGAAAAACATGATAGTATGGAGATAGGTCTGTAATTGGAGGCACTAGTCTCATCTCCTGATTTTAGTATAAACTTGGACCTGTGCTAACAAATGTATGGTTAAACAAACTAATTATTGCATCGTTAATAATTTCACAGTCATTTATAATTACTTTTTGGTAAACAATTAATATTCATATCTTTTTTATAAGTTAGTTATAACCTCTTTCATTATGTCATTTTTGTATTTTAGTAAATGGCTACTATAGTAAAACTTTTTTGAGCGCCATACAATCGCCACAAAAAGACGATTATAGTTTTTTCATTTTCAAAAGTTCTTTTTTTTACTTTTTTACACAATCGTTGCTTTTTTTTAGAAGATTTTATGATTCCAGGTTATAACTTTCATTTCAAAATTAAAACAAAATTCTACGGAATCCTTGGATTTTGTAGAATTTTTGTTTTGATAAATTTAGTTGTTATTAGAAATGCTTTATTTTAGTGACGATCAAATATATGATAAAATTTATCATATATTTGATTTTTATAAACTTCATTAACAATTTTAGTTTTCAAAACTAATTCTCAGTTTTTTGTTGATAAAAGAAAAATAATAATGCTACTATAACATCATAGGAGAAGCGTCCTTAATTAATCGTTTTTTAGATTTTAATTTATCAAAAAGTTGATTTACCAATTTGTGTTCTCTTATAAAAACCAAAAAAATGGTCAGATATGTCTGTTATAAATATTCCAGTTTTAATTTTTATGCTTTTAAAATTATTAATGATAATTTGATCAATTAAAGTTACAGTATTTTTGGTTATTCGAGTAGGTTTATTTATAGTTGGAGTGAATCCATTTTGAAACATAATATTAAAAAAAATTCTGAAGCCTTTGCCTTTATTAATTAGATTAATTATGGATTCAGCCCTAAACTTTTTAATATTTAAGGGAAGATGGGTAGGAGTGTGCCACTTTTTTTTAAATCGATAATATCAAGGAAACCAAAAGTAGAAAAAGTATAGGATAAGGAGCCTAAGGTAGCTTAAGGTATTAGGTTTCTAATAGTAATATATGAAATATCAAAATATCTTCAGATTTTTGATAACTTGAACAATAACGCAGGTGTTGCTACTGGTTCACTCCTACCCATGCATGGGTAGGAGTGAACTAAGCAAATGATAGCAGTGAGCCATTACCTTAAATTACCAGGGGCCGTATTCTCATCTCTCTGTTAAGCTTAACGGAGCGTCAGTAAAAAATTTCTTTTTAACTACATTAATAAAAAAGTTCTTTAAAAATATAAATTTTTAAAAATAAATGTTTTATTTTAGTATTAGTTTTATTTTTAAAAATTTAAATAAGGTTTTTGTCATTTCTTTACTTAGATTTATTGTAATGAAATTTCAGACAAATGTTCCGTTAAACTTAACGGAGAGATGAGAATACGGCTGCAGAAAACTAAATTAGATACTTTCTTCAACTAATTTGTTGAAAATTAAATAAGTAACAACAACTTTATAATAAAGCATAACATAATTAAGTAATAATGTAACATAGATAATAATAAATTTAACACAATTTTAAAGTCTTGTAATGAAATAAACAAAATGTATAAACTACAAAAAAAATTAATTTGTTTTCAGTAACAACTGATTTTGGCAACAAAACAAAAAACTGTCATGAAAAATGATAATTTCCAAATATTAAAATATAGTAAAAGTATATATATGTAATGAAAGTAATATACTAGCATATAGTATAATTGGCAATAAAAATAATATTTAGAAAATACTGATATAGTCAAATACAACCTCAAATTTGTAATGGCAATGCTGCCTTTTACTGTTCTAGAAAAAGTTTGCCGAGATAGCAACATTTTAGAAGTTATTGCAGTTACTCTAATCCTTTTTCTTTTTGGATTAAATTCATCTTTCATATCTTTATTGGAAGTTTTTGCATTCGAAGTTGTTCTTTTATAGACCCGAGGCATTAAAGCATATGGTAAAAATAAATGTAATGTTGCACACAAGTTTTCTAATGATATACAAAATTATAAAAGTCAAACATAAATATGTTTTTACGCTTTTAAGTCAACTTTTTTAACGTGAAGTATTAGTGAGCCGTGGTTCACTCCTACCCGTAAAGGAATGGCTCATTCCTCCCCTAGCTGTACAACTGGATTAAAACATTAAATGTACAATAAGTACGTGGTTTTAGCATGTAAAATACTTTGTTCTAAAAACTACATTGTTTATTTGTAAATTTTCAACGACTATCTAATGTCTCGAAACAACCGGTAAGCTCGCTAAAGAAGTTTCAAAAAATACAAAAAATTTACTTTTGCCGAGAAAAGAGTGGATGACAACGTAAATGCAGACACCCGCACCAAGGAGCGGTAAAAAAATTGGATTGTGTTAACAAAAATTTGTATGTAACTACTTGGTGAAAATTTTGAGTCTTTTTCATTTCCCGTTTTAGCTGTAGGATCAACGATTCACTCCTACCCTTGGCTCAATCTACCCATCCTTCCCTACGTTAGAGATCTTCCAACTGTCTGCAAATCTCATACAACTTAGTTTGCTGACAATATTAAACACTCTAAGGAATATTTGGACCCGTATGGACTAATATCGAAAATAGTACACATGCAAATATACACATATAAGTATAAGTATATATACATTTACAAATGTGCACATATATGCACATATATATAAATTGCTAACAATGAAACATAAGCTAAGATCTGAAAAAAGATCACAAAATCGTGTAATTAGAACCTTATAAAATTCAAACAAGGAAAGTAAAGACAAATATAACATTAGAAAATAAAGTAAAAACTAAAATAAAAAATTACTAAAATCCAAGTTGAATAACAATTTTTAACATATTAGAAGAAACTGAGCATATTATCAAGCGAAAAAATACATCAAGCAATGCAAATAAGCAATGCAAAATTGATTAAATCTATGTTTTTCATATAGTATTTGTTTTTAGGTTTGAGTTTGAAAGTATTATTAAAAACGGTAAGGAATACATTATTTATCTATAAATATACAAAACATAAAAGTTTAAATACATTGAGTTCAGATAAATTTAACAATCGTATTTCAGTTATAGTATTTCAGTAAAAGTAGTTTTTGTATGTGTAAAACGATCAGCATAGTTAATTATGCGGATCGCATGTTTTTGACGCAGATAAAGTAGATTTAACTTCGTATTGAATTCCAATGGTTTTTGAAATTTTAGTGTTTGTTCAATTATAATTAAAATTTGTCCTCCAGCTTTTTATGACCTATTTGAAGATCGTGCTGAGGATGAAAATTATAAAGAAATCCGCTTTCGGATTAAAAGTGTTCAGAGACGATTTGATGCAACCATCAGAGACTGTTGTAGCCATCATATATTGAATAGTAGTTGACCAAACTGAAAGAAATACAAAATAAAAATAATACAAATAAATACATAACAACAGAAAAAAAAAAAAAAAAAAAAAAGATAAAAATAATAATCTAGTAAAAAAATAACCTTCGAGCAGCGGAGGAAAGACCGGAAACTTAAGTTAAGTAAAACTAAATTATAAAGAAGCGAAAAAAAAAAAAGATAAGCTACAAAGGACCAGATAATAAAATATATATTTATATATAATAAAATGTTATGTTAAGGCATTGATGTCTACAGAAAAACAATAAAAACAACAACTATAGGAGCGGAATTCTAATTTATGTTTACATATATAATTTTGTTACGGTTATGTAGAATTTTTTACGTGTTACAGTTATGTAGAATTTTTTTATATGAGGCTCGGCAACAAGGCAAAATGGGACTTTTTCTTGCTCCAGCCGTTAATTTATATATATATTCATATATATATATATATATATATATATATTATATATATATATATATATATATATATATATATATATATATATATATATAAATTACAAATTAATTTGTAATTGCTCTGTTCTTTTAAGAACATTAAGCACTCTTTTTGTAGAATACATTTTAAATTGTTTAAATAAATAAATATATATATATATATATATATATATATATATATATATATATATATATATATATATATATATATATATATATATATATAAGTTGCTTAGAGCGTCAAACGTATTGTTTAAAACTCGGACTACGGTGCGATATGAGTTCAAATTCAGTCACCAACTCAACTCACTCAACACTTTTGTTGTTGTGTATTTTGGTACACAAAAATGTTGGTCAATAACGGAGCTACTTTAAATTAGTCTTTATGACTAATTGTAGCTGTTCTTATGATAAGCCAGCAATATCTTGGGATATAATAGCATTGTATAGCAAAATATAGCATGAAACTCAAATAAATAAAAAAGTATGTATTTATATTGTATTATCAGTATATATTGCTAGAGCACTCAACGATAATTTTTATATCAGGTTATTAAGTATGGAGGATTTGCCCATTATACTCGATGTCACGAGTTCGAGAAACATGCCATAAAATTTTGTACAGTAAAAAATTTTTTAATACCTAACATACTTTAAATGTGTTAATCAAAAACCTTTTTAAGAAATAAGTTTGTTAGTAAGACAAATGTAATAAATGTAACAATTGTAACGGACATTACTTAAATTTTACTTTAAAAACAAAAAACTTAGCTAAAAATGTTTTGAGGCAGGACACGTGCAAATTTAGATGAAAAGTGTTTTCGTTTTAAATAAACAATTGAAATATTTAGAAAAGTTCAATTGTTAGCAGCGCCACCATATAAAACAAAATTAAAATTTAAGTTTAACGATTTTACCAGTTTACAAATTTAATATTTAATTAAAAATTTTTAACAATAATTGTAACTAATAATTATTGCTAAAAATAACAATAAAAAATAAAAGGTGTATTGTTTATATCATACCGCGAGTTTACATTTTTTTGGAATAAGATACACACAGCTGTTAACTGTTAACAAAAAATTGAAGGTAAATAACTAAAATATTTTTAAATGCTGCTTCAATGTTAGCAGTACCGCCTTATAATTGTGAGTTTTACAACAACAACAAGAAAAAGATATTTAAGCAAGGATATATACATCTTTATTCTACCCATGCAGAAATAATTAAAATCGATTTTCCATTTTTTTTTTAAAAAAAACAACAAACCATACAAATTAAAAGTGTAAAAAAAAAATACACTTTTTTGGGGGAATTTTGAGACTAATAACAGTCAACTATTGAAGGGGCCAAAATTACAAATTTAAAGTTCATAAATTATAAATTGAAGAAAAAAAATCCATATAAATATTTTTAAAATTTCTTTATAAACCAATTTTGACGACATTACATTCCATATCGAATACTCTGTATTATTTGAAAAACAGCTAAAAGTAAAATAATATTATATTTAAGAGTGTTTAAAAAAAATATTATTATTATTAAAAATGATTTATTATTATTTTAATTATTAAAATGCTTTTTATTTATACCTGAGCCACAAACAACAAAAAGGAATAGCCCTAAGAGATATGGTCCAACTGCATATTTTTCATCTTTTGGGTTCTAAAAAAAACCTAGAAAATGTACTATATATCATAAAAAGAATTTACACTCTAAAAGACTAACTTGATATAAACCTCTATAAAAAACTACAAAATAAACATTTATCTGGCATCATGTTGCTTTTAGCCATACCACAGAAATATCTATATTCAACTTACAAAAAACAATAAAAGGTTTTTTTTATTTCTTGAAATTTAAATTCTCTTTCTTTAAATAAGGTTAAAAATATTAAGAAGTAGGATAATTTCTTCGAAAAAAAAGCTTTATTTTGTTCTCACAACCACTCAAAAATTTGTTAAACTCTTATTTTTAGTGTGTTTGTGTGTGTGTGTGTGTGTGTTTGCTTGTGTTTGTTTGAATAATAATTAACTTGTATAAAACATTTATAATGTATAATACTTTTAATGCTGTTATGAAATTGTAAAGAGGAAAAGAATAAAATAAAATAAACTTCTTTGTATCACATATGATACTTTTTTTAAAATACACTTAATAATCATTTGGAAAAAAAAAATTAAACATATCTACTTTATCCTACTAAAATTTGCCTTATTTCAATAAGAAAAAACAATTATGTAAAACTTTAAATAACAAACAATAAATAAAAACCTAGTAAATAATTTACACGTTTACAAACTAAAATTAAAACTCTGTTAAGGCTTTTTAAATAACATTATTAAAGACAAATGTAAAATTTACAATAATACGATATTATAACTATATGCTGAAAAAAAAAACAAACCATGGTTTTTGGAACATTTCCTCTCATTGTGACATTTTGGCTATGCTTCTCATTAGCAACACGCATTCTTTGTTTTGGTGCCATATTATTATGCAAATGAAGTATGGTAGATTTTTACTTTATTTTTTTTTTAAATAAAATAAAAACCTTCAACAATTTGTGTTAAATTGAAAAAGGAAGTTGCGTACATTAACTGCAATTTTTGTTTAGTACGAATAAATTTCGGATTGGTTGAAAATTTTTGCCACGTGATACGTGTTTTTCAATTATGCGGAACAAAAACTGTATCGCAATATTGCCATAACATCAAATCGTTACAAGTGAGGTTATAATTATCCATTACCATAAATTTTGCCTAATGCCTACCAATTACCAATGTAATGTCTTAAATTTTCTTTTTTATGGGATTCTTTTAAGTACCGTATTTTTAGTAATTTTAAGTAAGTAATTTTGAGTAAGTATTTTCGTAAGTATTTATAGTTTTTTGGTTTTCCATACTTTGGGTTTGGTTCTGCAAAGTATACAATACGGCATAGCTAAAGCTCGGTCTACGTGCAAATTTCGTAACTGCAAATCTGCTTAAATGTAAATGTAGTAAGTGCAAATTTCCACTTACAACTTTTCAAGCAGTTGAAAAAACTTGATTACGTACGAATATGCGTGAGAGAGCGAAAAATATTTATATAAATATATATTATATTAAATAAATAAATATAAAAGTATCTATTAGTACTGTACGCCAGTTTTAATACTTGCGCTAATGCAAACTTGCATAGTGAAACTTTTTATAATGCATCACTTTTGTGATTTTGTTGGGTCATTAAATAAAGTTAAAATCGTTTGTCCCACTTTAGCTAATTTGCGCTTATTCGAATGTTAAGCACTTTTGAAGGTTTGCACTTATGCTAATTTGTACTTAAGACAGGTTTAACAATTCTTTTGGCGCAAGGTTTTGGAAAATTCTGAAAAAACTAAACGAACTCTTTTTTTATAACAATAAAACAAATAAAATAAAACAACTAACCAGTGATATTTAAGTTCGAAATAAATATATGTTCGAAATGTATTCTTTTTCAGTTTTTATTCCGTTCTTGTGAAGTTGATTTAATTTCTAATTCAGATTTTACTTATAAAATAATTCCTATTTCAGTTTTAAATCTGTTCTCTTAAAACTAATTTCAGCTCAGTTTATTTGATTTCAACAATTTTACTTCTTATTTCAGTTCCCAATTCAATTAATATTTTACTTTTATCAAATTTTTTTTTAGCAGTTTTTACCAGAATATTTGTAAAGTATCATTATCAAAGTTTCATGGCAACAATTTCAACAACAAAGTTTATCAAAGTTTCAAGACAACAATATTAAAACAGTTTCATAACATAATATAATATAATACAATATAAATACAAAATAAGCAAACAATAATTGTAAATCAGTCATTCAACAATTGATTTGAATTGAGATTAGATTTTTTTTGATACTTTAAGAAAATATAGGCTTGAATTTCAATATTCTTGTTTAGTTTTATAAAAACTCTTATCTCTAATGATTTTTTTATTCAATTATGGCGTCCACTTGTTAAAATTGTTATTAATAATTTTTTTATTCGACAAGAATTTTAAGCGTTTCATGGCAAATGACTTCAAATTTTGCTTTAATATGTTTCTGTATTGCACCTGATCCATTATAGTATCAATAAATTGGAGTTTTCCGACACCCTTCCAAGCCATTGAACCCCATACCATCACGTTACCACCACCATAATTGACAGTTTCTCTCAATTCTCCAAAATATTTGGAGAATATTCTTCAAAATATTTGGGCTCCATCAGATGACTTTAAGTTGAACTTCGATTCGTTGCTCCACAGCATCTTTTTCCAAAAACTTAACGGCATGTTTTTGAACTTCTTAGAAAACTCAAATCTTCTTTTCATGTGTTTCTTACTCAAATATGGTTCATTACGCACAAGTCGTCCTTGAAATCCCTGGTCTCGGATACGATTTTTGATTGTCTGATGGGATAATTTGATTCCATAATTCTCTTCAGCTTGCTCAGCCAGTTTTTGAGCAGAAATGAAACGATTTTTCTTGACTTGTATAATTAAGTTTCTATCAAAACTCTTAGTCTTTTTTTTTGCGACCCTGTCCCTTTTTTGTGGCTGTTGTTCCGATCAAATTATACTTCTTCATTATGTCAGATACTGTATTATGAGGAATTCCAGTCTCTTGCTGCACCTGGCGATAGGCTAAATAACATACTATTCCTAATAGAATTAAAATGACAAACAAAGTAAGTATCGCTATTCATTGTTTTTAGTATAATTTAGAGCGTAAACATTTTTTTGTTTGGGAAAAACTTGTATGGTCGGATAATTTTTTGAGACACTGTATACTATTATAATATATAAAATATACAATTTTTTAATTTATATACAATAATATATACTATCCTAATTAAATTAATAACAGTTATAATAACTGATAATTGTCATCGTTTTTTCACGTTCCGTTTTCCATACTTTTGTGGTATGATATAAAGTTCATGAATAATGTTTTATAACACAGGAAAATATCCTTTTCAAGCTCAAATTCCGCCTTAAAGCAATCAGAGAGTGTTGGTTTTTTATTAAGACAAGAATAAATGGTAGTATCATCAGCGACCACCTTAGATGTGAATATTTTTGGGAGATTTTTTGTTTATGTAAGTTAAAAAAAGTATAGAGCCAAGAATAAAAAATTTGAGAAACCCCTGAAGTTACAAGATATGAATAAGAGTGCTATCCATCGAAGACAACTTTGATAATAAGATTGGTAAGAAAAGATTCAGTAATCTTAAAGATGTTACTAGATAAACCGTAAGAGGAAAGCCCATGGAGAAAACCAGCATGCCGCCAAACTTTATCAAAAGCTTTAGAAATAGAGCAATAGCCTCAGTCTTTCCACAAATAGCAAGACTGATATCAGAAAATATGATAGATCTGTTTTTTCTTTTTCCATTGAGACAAAGGATTTCTATTATTGGTGAAGAATAATTAGTTAATTCAAATAGCAAAAAAATTTTTGTAACCCTGGAATTGGTTTGAATATAAACGAAGTTTATATTCAAACTGGTATAATGTTTATATTCAAACAGGTATATCTGCGAAGATTTCTGGTATAAACGGTTCTTGTTAAACTGGGAGAAAAAAAAGAAGAGCAAGGTGTCTTTTGTTTTTGCGCTACTTGCTGACTAGTGCATAATTTGCTGACTAGTGCATAATAGTAGAAGTAGTAGTAAACTTAATCTTTCTGAATTCAAAGATGAAGAAATTAAAACAACTCAATTAAAAGTAGAAATTCATTTAAATCAGACTCCTGTCAAAAAGTTGGTTTTTGTGTTGGTCCCCTTGGCAACAAAGAAGCAAAAAGTCAAAGTTTTACTGCGTTTTTTTTTTTTTTTTTTTTTTTTAATTTTATTTTACTTCACCTCCTCAAGGCCGAGAAGGCCACTACAGACGAGGAGGCTACTTATTTTGTGGCTATAACCCTCTCTCAACTCTATAACTCCGAAACACGAACCTTGACGAACAAGGCCGCTGCGCGGAGAAACGAGTTGAGCGCGGTACTACCAGGGACGTGGTGGGGATCGAACTCGGAACCACTCGTTTATGAAGCGAGCGCTCTACCACTACACCACTACTGCACAAGTTTATTCACTTATAGGATTCAAAATGCCGTTGGAAGGTTTTTTCGGCAAAATAAAATAAGTATTTTTTTTTTTGACAGTAAAAATATAAAACTTGCAAAAGAGGAAACCTTTTAAAGTGTGCAGAGACAATCACCTGTATGGCAAACAAAAATTGAAACCATTTTGAACGTGAAAAAAACTCATGCTTTTTTTAGGTGACAGGATAGTGAAAGAAACAAAAAAAGATGTTTGAAAATTTTAAATACAAAATATCAGCTATGTTGATTTTATGAACTGGCCACCACACAATAAAGTTTTTCCACACACTACATGAGTAGGTTTTACAATGTCAAAAAGTGTAAATTTAAGAGAGGTAAAAACTCTTTGCAAATGTTTTTACAATCTCATCAGAGCAATGCCCATTATAGTATTTATAGAAAAGAGGAAGAGAAGCAACATTTTGAAGATGTGGTAATGGTTGGACGCTGCAAAGTCAGATCCAATTATGTTTACAATGCGTTTTTGCTTCTTGGAAAAAAGACATCATTGAAAGATTCGCCCCAGATATGGCAACAGTATTTCAAACAAGAACGGATTTGAGATTTACGATAAAAAGATGCAAACTTAGCATATGTAAGTTATTTCGCCCTTAAAAAATGTTTACATAGCATTTACATTAATCTGAATTTATGGATGGAACAAGAAGAAAGCACATTTTGCCTTATCGCCGAGCCCCATATATATAAAAAAAAAAATTCTAAATAACCGTAACATTCAAATATATATAAAGACATAAATCAGAATTAAAACAGAAAATAACTAGGAAATTAAAGAAATTTAAAATAGCAAATAATTTAGAAGTCTTAAAATGCTTACAACTGCTAAAATGTATAAGAACACTTAGAGAAAAATTTAAAATAAAAAAATAATGTAAAATTTCATAATTAGCATAATCACTCGATGAATTTTTAACATTTTCACTTAAATTTCATTGATATAAATAAATCTGTTTCGAGCTTACTTTAAATGAAAAATTTAAAGTCGGATAAATTAAGATCTCTGAACAGTAATGATCTTTTTGATTCATTCTTGAACTGCTCTAAGGTAGTCTTGCTTCTGTTGACAATATCTGGGAATTTTTTCCACAGATAAGGTCCACGGTATTTAATTAAATAGGAGGTTAATTTTAGATTATATTTGAGAAAAATAAAGTTGTTATCTAAAAACTTTGTTGATTACTTATGATTAATTTTATTAAAATAGGTTTGAAAGATTTTTAGGGACAATCCCATTTATGTTATAAACATAAACAATAAAATTTGGTGTAAATTGAGTTTATACTTATTTAAAGCACCAATCGACGTAAAAGTGGTTCGCAAGGAGTATTTCTATAGGCTCCAAACACTACTCTGCACGCATGTTTTTGTTTATTGAGGATTTTCATAAGTTTTGTGTAGCCAGTACTAGCTCACACAATATTACAGTAAGACAAATAACTGTGAATAAAGGCAAAATATAATTCTTTCAGGGATGTT